GTCGCAAAATAACGAAATCTTCGTCTATTTTCTAACGAAATCTTAGAAAATATGCGAAATTGTGCCGACGAATTTTACAATTGTCTCTATAATATCAAAAAGGTAGAAGAAGATCATAGTTTTTGATCTACCTGTAGAGTACGAAAGCTGAAATCAAATTGAACACAATATTCCGTTATGGATTTATGTTGTCAATCTGCCGATTAGGAAATTTAGAATTATCCAATTTATGGAAAATATTTATCGATTTAGCAACGAATTAATAATCAATTGAAGATATGTGATTAGATACTTCAAGAAAAAACAACAAAAAAGGATAAAGAGAAATTACAAAGATTGCATTATTTGAGGAAGTAACTATCGAAAATAGTTTGTCAGATGTATGGTGTTAATTTCCAAAACTACGAAACATGCGACGAATACTGTAGAATAATTCCAAACCAACTTTAAAAATTACGTAGAAAAAACAAATATACTCGATAGAAACGGCAAAAATATCGAATTTGGTGAAATTTCCAAAAATTGGCAAAAATAATTTGAAAATCACTTCACCGACAGTAGGGTGCAATATGCCATAATTTTACAGCCAAATAATTTTTGGTGCAAATATCAATTTTTTTCGAAAAAAATGCAAAAGTTTTCATAAAATTTACCAAAAAGTGTTTAATTAACCGACAAATGAATATATTGAATGCGCCTTTTATATGCCGAAAGTAGGGGTTTTTGTTTTATTATAAAGTCCACAAATCTACTATGGACCAACAAATATAACAACAATTTTTTATTTATTAAAATTCACTATTTTTCATACGAACCCACTGTGCTGTGGTGAACAACGAATGCCGCACAAAAGAAAATAAAACACAAGCAGTGTTGAGTGAGCGAACAGACCAACGACAACGAACCAACAAACCAACCAAAAACTTGTTGGTACGTTTGTATGTCAGTCGGCTCACACTAAACAAGGCGAGTATGATATTTGTTGTTGATATCACGCGATCAACATCTCAACGAGAGTAATCCAACAGTGAGTGTTGGGGATCGATCAGTAATAGTGGTGAAGAGAAATTATTTGTTAGTAGATCGAATGTTAATAAACAGACGCTAGAAAAAGGCGCGTGAAATATTCGGATATTATTGTTGTTGTGTTTACATGACCAAACAACGAGAGATGACTCGATATAGAAATTGTTTGTATGTATGCGAATAAAAAGAAAAGTAAGAAAGGGCACGATGAATATTAGTAGTGTTGTTTATGTTTTTTCTCACTAGTGGCTGATGAATTCAACTAGAAAGCGGGGGTGCCGTAAGCAATGTATCGAACTTATACAGTATATATAAAGGAATCTGTATCCATATATATCAATACCACCTTTTGACCAAATTTCTTTTTTATATACTGATAATGAAATTCGTACATTTTCCATTTAAATTGTGAGATGCTATGAAAATTTGCTTTGCCTATTAGCGACTGAGCTCCTAATATGTGTGTATAAACATTCTTTCAATGAGTTATTAATTTAAAGTCTTTACACTTATCAATGTTTTCCATTGTCTTACCAAAAACTGCGTTATTTAATAACTTGAAAAAAAAATTCTTAAAAAGTCGTTAGTGGCATATTTTGTCTTTCATTAGTATTTTTTATATTTATATATTTAACCATGGGGATTGTTTGAATGAAATTACTTGATGTACTTTTTTAATATCAACCCATTATCTAGACATTGTTTCAATGTCATATAATGCAGTGCATAATTTTTTTGGAGCAAAATCTGCTGTGAGTTTATTTTTTGGATCCTCTAACTTTTTTATTCTCAGAACAGAATGGTAAATCATTATGTGATTTACGTAAATCAGTGGGGTATTCAATATCATACTCATATATATATCCTACAAGCGAATTTGCTTCAAAATTTGTTGTTTTTACATCGGTAACTATGTCTTCAGGTTTTACCCATTCAAAATCGCCATAGGGGAGATATTGTCGTTAATATAAAGCAAATAGCTAGGGGGACAATTTTTATTGTAACCTTTCATATACTTATTATTGGCTATGGTATACCTTCTAGAGCATTGGGTGAGACCTCCTCGAATGCCATTTTTAATAAAAATTTTGAATATGTTTACACGACTGTTTGATATTTTCGAAAACATAAGGAAGAAGAAAGAAACACATCTGTTTTCAAATATAATTCCATATTATCGCGTAAAGTATGATATTTAAATATATGCTAGACATTTATCGCATGGTTATAATAATTAATACTATATGATTTTTCATTAAGACTGATATAAAATGCTGCAATAGGTGGAGGCAAAGTCTCATTCAACTTACGATAATAGTTTAACTATTCATAACAGAATATACCTTTCTTTCTCATAAGATTAAATTCACTATCAATAAAGAAATGTTTTCTAACACATAATGTATCTGCGTTTTCGCAATAGCTGGCTATGCATCTAAACTAGATGACATAAACCTAACTGAATCTAAACATCTATATTCTAAAGTATTTTTATTACCCATATCGATTGTATGTGATGATGAAATACACAGCTCTTTATTCTGTGGAATTATAGCTGTTCTATTGTCTTTAGAAGTTCTTTAACAACTAAATGACAATCATATGATGAGAAATTATGGAAAAATAGAAATTAATTTAGGGATGACATTGTTCAAGTTACACTCGTTATGTGCAGCCCCTTTATATTGTCCTGTGATATGACAATGGTCGTGGACTTTATCACCATATAACTGCTTATCACAAATATGACAAACTATTGCATCATTAAATGATGAATGCTCTGAGCTGGTTAATGGTGTCATAGACCTATTTTTAATTAATCAACGTGAATGTTCGTACATTCATAGTGTAATTTGTCTACAAATTTTTGAACAGCGTCCTCACCTGAATATGTAAAAAATCTATCATGCATACTGTGTTTAGGTTCGATACATTGTTTACGACAATGTATATGTTCGATATGTTGTTTACCCCTTCCGTAGCATAGCAATTATTATTCACATTAATTGGCCACTCATTTGAGTCAATGGGGGAATCTTCTCCGCACTTCTTCTAGGAGTCACATTCGCCTGGTTCGGATTGTAGGAAAGAGTATTCTTTCTTTCCTACGCTCTCTCGTAGAAGTCACATTCGCTCAGTTCGGATGCAGAGAGGACTTTCCAGTGCTACGGTCGTCGATGTGATCTCGACCTTGTTTACGCTACATTTGCTCACCGCGACTCACTTGCATTCTTGCTATCGTTGATTCGACGAGCTTTCCAACTCTCGTTGTTTAAACTAACATTCTTGCTATCGCTGATTAAACTTGCAATCTCACTTTCGATCGAACACGCATGCATCAAGGTAAAGTTTTGTTTCATTCGAAGCTCACTAACACCAAATTGTTTTATTTTGTTTTTATTTCTTTATTGGTTTTTCTTCCCTTCATCGGTATCATGCCAACATTTTGATCCGTTCGAGCCGGATGTTTCATAGCATTGTTGTTACATTTTGATCCCATTTAGTCGGATAATCTACCAACAATTTCACACTTGTCGCTATTTTAAAGGAGAAAAACATCATCACCCCTCACCAAACACAACATCTCATCAGCAGCATCATCATATTCACCAAAACCATAAACATCAAAAACTGCATCATCATCCACAAACAACAATACATCATAAACTCAAAGGTAAGTAGTTCAGTTTCTTAATATTGAGCATACCGCGAGTGTTTTCGTTTTTTACATTTCGCTTTACAAAAATAAATTTTCCATTTGTTGCTACATTTTTCGCTACGTCACGTATTGGTCGCTCCTAAGTATACAGTCCACATATTGTTTCATATTCTTGCCATTATTTGTTTACCAGTGATCGATTGTGTAGTGCTTATTTGTTATTCCTCACCAAAGGCTACCTATACACTTCGCTTTCTTGTTTAACTCGCCAGCCACTAGTGAGAAAAAGCACAAACAACAATACGAACACTGATCGTGCCCTTTTCTAATTTGTTTTGTTATTCTCAAACCTACCAACAATTCTAATATCGCATCAACTCTCCTTGTTTGTAAAACACAACAATACTATTCTAACATATTCTAATAATATGCTAACACTCAATCACACCAATAACATATCCATTCCCCAACTCTCACTGTTTGATCGTTCTCGTTGTTCTGTTGATCCTGTGATATCAACAACAAATATCATTCTCGCAATCCAGCCGCCTTGTTTAGTGTGAGCCGACTAACAAACAAATGTACCAACAAGATCTTGCTCTCCCCACACATCTCTGCTGATTCGTTGTCGTTGGTCTGTTTGTAGTGCGTTAGCCGCTCACTCAACACTGCTTGTGTTTTATTCCCTTTTGTGCGGTATTCGTTATTCACCACTGCACAGTGGGTACGTGGCACAAAATTGTGAAATTTTATAAATAATATTTTATAAAAAATTATTGTTATATTGTTTTGTTATTGTATTGTTATATTGTTGGTCTATTATAGATTTTTGGACTTATACGAAAAAGTACCGTACTTTCGGCAATTTAAAGACGCATTCAACGCATTAATTTTTGGTTAATTAAAAACTCTATTTAGACATTTTTATTGAAAAAATCGTAATTTTTTTGCGAAAAAATAAATATTTACTTTTACAACAAAAAATAATTTGGCTGTAAAATTATAGTATAATTTGAAATTTCGTGCACCCTTCTGTCGGTAATAGCGATTTTCAAATTATTTTCGAAAACTATTGTTCCTTTTTTGAAATTTTCACATATTTGTTTTTTTTTTTTTTTTTTGATCCTATCGACTATATTTGCTATTTTTCATCGATCCTTTTGCAAGTTCGACTGTGTGTACCCTATATTCGGATCTATTCGACCTCAAATAGTAAGAATATAGATTTTTTAACTTTTTTGCTTCGTTATCGGTCACTCCACTCACACAATTTACTCGTGCTTCCAATGTGGTCAAATTTATTGCGTCGTACCACATGCTTAAGCCGGAGAGTAGTGCATCTAATCGGACTCCTATCGAACAGTCAGGTTTCGTTAATGAAATTAATAGTTCGCGAAATAGTTTGAATATGAATATGCCAAATTCATCAAATATTTTTCAACCTGAATTTCCAAATCCTGCAGACGTCTCCATTTCAAATTGGAGTTTACCACCTAATGTTTCGAATACAATGTATAATGTCAATTTACCACCGTGTGAGATTGATGATTTCCATGGAGACTTTCTATCGTGGCCCACATTCCGGGACCTGTTCTCTGCCATGTTCATTAATAATTCTCGCCTAAGTGACATTGAGAGGCTTTGTCACTTAGTTCAGAAAACAATAGGTGAAACTAGGGAAATCGTGTCTAAGTTTCCACTCACCCATAAAAGTTTCGCTATGGCTTGGCAGTCGTTGAAGGATACGTACGACAGTAAACGTATTCTAGTTCATAATCATCTCAAGCTCTTATTCGACCTTCCCTTTATAGAATCTGAATCTAGTTCTAATTTAAAAATTCTACAGCGTAGTATCAACGGCTGCATTTCTGCTATGTCAGTGTATGATGTAGCTACGGATCACTGGGATCCTATTCTAGTATATATTTGTCAACAGCGTTTACCTAAACTAACTGTAGCTTTGTGGGAGCAGTGTATTAAAGATAAATCCTCGCTATCGCCGTGGGAAGACTTGAACAAATTCCTTACTGAAAGAATTCAAACATTAGCTTGCTTGCGACACATTCGAAGTTCTCCTTCTAGTCCCATTTCGAAAAGTAAAATCAAAGCCCAGTAGCTACTTCTGCGGTTAAACATATATCAAATTCATGCATTCTTTGTCGAAATGAATCCCATTCATTACGCTCATGTCCAAAATTCAAAACACTTTCGTTTGAAAACATATTTGAAGTTGCTAAAAAACAGGGTTTTTGTTAAAATTGTCTCTCGGTAGGACATTCCGTTAAAAATTGTGTCAGTAGTCATAACTGTACTATTTGTAAAAATCGACATCATACTTTGTTGCAAAGGCCTACTGCTTCTCCTCAATCATCTCGAATCGGTTCTCCTCAGTCCTCTAGTATTGGTTCTCCCCTATCGTCTAGGCCTTCGAATTCTATCGCGACAAATATTGTCAATATTCCACAAGTTTATGGTAATATAGCTTCCACTGGCGCTAATCCGAGGGTAATGAATAGTCAAGTGTTCCATGCACCCAAAATCGTAATGTCTTGTTGGGTACTGCTATGGTCAACATAGTTCATTTAGGAGTTTCGTACCCTGTTCGCGCTCTGATCGACCCTGGTTCAGAGGCTTCGTTCATATCAGAACATTTGCAAAATCGTCTTAAATTGCCCACTCAGGCAATCTCTGCAACCTTTTCTGGAGTAAATAGATCAACTTATGCCACTTCCAAGAAAAAATTTTCAATTCGCATCGGTTCACGCTTAGATTCTTCTTTATTTGTTGATGCAAATGCTTTCGTTCTTCCAAAAATATCCGGAAATCTTCCTTCAGTGCCCCTTAGTTCTAATCTCACTTCTTGCTTAACCAATCTACCTTTAGCCGATGCTC